CGATCCCAGTGTGCAGAGACCCCAGACCCTGATCTGGGCACATGGGATCAGGTGGGGGCAATGTGGGATGTGGCAGAGGCAGCACGGGGCTTGATGATGCCATGTAAGACCAAAAAGGGGTGGGGCAAGGCCCCATGGCCTTGATCCCAGGATGTGGGGCTGGGCAGAGGCAGCATGGGGCCCTGATCCTAGCAAAAAGAGGAAGACTGGGATCCAATCTCGGGGCATGGGGGGACAAGCCAAGGCCACATGGGCCCAATCCTGGCACACGGGGTCTGATTTGGCGCTCAAACTGGCTCTGTGTCACTCATCGGCACTGTGAAGCCAAAAGGTTGAGCGCTGCCTGTCTAAACGAAGACTACAGATAATCCCATTACTTGGATTAGTTTTTATAACCCCCCCTGAATCACTCAGTGGGTCAACCGCTTTGTTTTCTGTCTCCGATCACCTTGCCTCTCCCACGAGTGCCCTTCCTTTTTCCTCCCCCTTCCCTAGGCTCTGTATTCTAATCACTGCTTTCAATTTAGAAGCTCAGCTTTCTTCAGTCCCCTCACAGTATTTGATGAAGTAAACTGCTGCTTACAAAATCTTATGCACTTCTGATGTACTTAGTCTGTAAGGTGCAAATCTACCCTGCCTTCTATAGAAGAGTCAGGGTTAAAGACAGGAATGACATGACAGGCACCACGGTGCATATTTAAGTTCCTGCCAGAAAAAAAGCAACAGCAGACTGCTTCTAACAATGAAACTGTGGTCTCAGATGAAGCTCTTCACCTCAGGGAATGGATAACTATAGCTACTCTGGCATCGAGCCCTAGTCGCATGCAATGAGACAACTATTCGGAGAGCTCCAATGTTTGACATACCTGCCAACTTCTCAAAATGAAAATGTGAAGGATAAAGAGCATTCAAAAAGATCTGGGTATTAGGCAAGAATCTTGTAACTCCTTCCCAATCTGAAAGTGCGGCCACTTTAATTTTTTTTTAAATTTCCACTAGCTTATCCATGGAAAGTATTTCATTCTATGCAAACAGTTCTTTAAATGAAATACTGCCTTTTCTGTTTTCCCCCTTCTCTTTTTCACTTTTCCTTAGTAACAGGACCACATCTTTGCATCAAAGTATTTCAGCCAAATTCTTGTATAGTTTTTCACTTTGTTAAGGTCCCTGGGAATTTTACTTTTAACTTGTCTCTTCAGTCAATTATGTTTCCTAATTTTTAATTCTGAATTGAATTTTCTGCCATTTGACTCTCTCGTGCAGCACTGTTCCCTTCCATTGGAAAGGCACTGCAGGAATCCAGCCACTTGGCAACACAGAATAAATTGCAGGATGACACTTTATCCCTTGTTTTGGCATCAAGAATTTCTCTCTCATCAAATCTCTGCACCTGCTACATTTCTGATTAGAAATCTTGACTAAATCCACCTATAGGCCCTGCTCAATTTCTGAAGGCCAATCCAAAAATCTGCTAAAGTCCATGGAGAGTCGTTTTCTGCCCCCAGATTTTAATAGGCTCTGTTCAGGTCACTGCTGTGGGTGATGGAGTGAACAGGACCATGTCTCAGCTGACAGCATTTTTTGGAAATACTGAGCCTGAGCCTCCTCTTGCTGACATCACTATAAATCAAAGGTAACTTCAGTGAAATCAAGACTTACTGATGTGAAACCAGAGTGAAAGGACAATCAAGCCCATCAAATTTAAAATAAAGGCAAAATAATGCCTGGAAGCTATATACAGAAATTAAGTTATAGCATTAAATTAATGTGCCATGTCATTTCCAGTTAAAATTGTTTCGTGCTTTTTTCAATTCTGAATAATAACACCTAGAAAATTAAAATTTCAACCTTTTGCTCTTCCCTTTTCCAATTCAAACCAATTAAACTAAGAGAGAGTTGCAAGAAAGAGTGAATTATAATAAAGCTGTGATAAATTCTCAACAAAATTCTTTTGACAGTTTGCCTATTTCTGTTTCTCCTCAACATAAAAATGACTCTTGTTCTAAGCTAAAGTGACAAGGAATTTCTTATATGTGGTTTTCAAATGTGGACAAGCAATAAATGATTGCAAACCACCATGTGAATGTAAAAAAATGCTTAAATATTTAATCTATTTAACATTACAGGGAAGCCAGAACAATGCCAAAATCCACACTCAATTTTGTTGAACTAATTCTTTTTTTATGAAATGACAACAATGCTTGTAAGCGGTTCTACACCAAACCTCAACCCCTTTGTATAGGGTGCCTTCAAGTATATGCATGTCAATTGGAACTGCCTATGCTGCCGTTTGTTTAAAAACATCAGTAATAATGTAGAAAGCTATAAACATATTAACACAGATTCTAGCACTCTCAAAGTACATGTGTAACTTGTTAGTGTAAATAGAACATACATTATGCATCTTGAGGGAAGAATAAAAATCCTTTATGAAGTTACTGACAGCAAGTGATTACATTTGATCTACTCTGCTTTAAGAATAAACATACTTAGGTTTAATTTTAGCTTGTGCAAATTATCAGAGGTCTATAGACCCATGGTCAATGGAACTTCAGAAGTCCAGCTTTAGCAAGCATCTGTCTTGTTTCTGTTTAATTCAAGATATTATGAAAGGAATTTGTAATGAGAGAGCAATTTTACATTGAGACAGAAGTTGACTGCAGCACTAGCCACACACGTTAACAGTAACAAATGATGCTTGAATAAGAAAAGTAGATCTCATAGAGATGCCTAAAACATAGCCTAGTTTTTAAGAATTACCTTCAGTTTTTAAAAGCATGAACCCAGCTACAGGGTAGAGTAAAAAAGCTTGCAAAAACCTTTGTATGACCCAACAAAAGGAAATTTTTGCTATGAAATAATCTTAGAAATAGTGGGTTGCAGTTATTTTGAGTAAAAGTTATATGCACTTTTCTATTGCACAGCCTGAATAACTATTGTACCTAAGCAAATTATAAATGACTATGTTTAACTACTGTCATAAATGAGTTACTAACAAAAAGGCATATAGAAGACACAAAACGACTTTGTTCACAATGGCAAACACTGTGAGGTTTATGTGCTATATTTTTATATCCTCAAGCAGTTTTTAACACCTGTCACCACAGGTCAGATTCCTGCCACAAGGGATCATACTAAAACAAATCATGGCCAGTTTTGTTTTTTCCTAACATATCTATCAAATTTTGAAAACTAAATACGAGTTGAAGGCATTTTTCAACTGCACAAATCTGTCTGAAGCTATTTAAGTGGCCTATGTTACCCAGGTTTGAAGGTTTGAAATGGAGTTCATAAGCCTAACATCTTTTCTGTCTAATATTTCTTGAAAAACCACATCTATAGTTTGATAGGCAAAAGGTCTATTGTTTCAATCAGAGATGTTGGCTGAAAAAAATCAGAATAGTTAAATACCATTAAAGGTGAAATCTTGACAAGAGAAAAGTATTTCTGGGAAGTAACTCTGTCCATGCTATTGTTTTAACAAAAGCAGAGGATTATACTGATTAGATGTTCATTCCTGAAAATATATCCCCTGAGAAATTCCAACTTACTGAAGCAGTTGGGTTGATTCTATTGAACTTCTTCAGAATGCTAGAATTATTTGCCTGAGTCAAGACTTCCAAGATGAACCCATCATTTTACACACACAGTTTTCTCCTGAGAGACTGGCCGTTTGGTGTGGTCTTTATCTCAGTTTTACTAGCAACATTTCCTTTAAAATGTTTACAATTGTGGTTGCCATTTGTAAACTAAATAAAATTAATCAGTGATATTCCTGGAAACAAGTGGAAAGGCTTCCAAAAAGTCAAAAGTTAGGAGGTCCATATTTACTCATGGCTGCATGGATAAATTAGCTTACCTTTGTACCAGGCAACCCTGGCAAACCTGGATTACCATGTGGTCCTGGAACACCCTAGAAAAAAAATGAAAGTATAAATTATTCAGACTTAGGTCTAGCAGTGTTTCGTACTTATGGAAACACTGTCCAGACAATTACCCTGAAAAATCATTGTCACTTGTATGATTTCTGACTGAGATTTTCAAAGGAGTTTAAAGGTATAGGATGCCCAGTCCTCACTGAAATTAAATGGCAATTGAGCACCTAACTTCTGTAGGTTCCATCACAGATCCCAGTTTCACTGTGTTCCCAGATAATTTTAAATAAGCTCATGGTGGGTTTTTCAGCTATAGCATAATATATTATGCTATTAGACATAATATATTATGTCTGGAAATTATATCTCTCTTAAACATCACATTTTTGATGTACATATATGTACAATAGAGAAAGTTGGTGTTAAAAGGAATAGGAGTAATTCCTTCTCCAGCCAACAGCCCAGAACCTTGACCATTTTGATAGACAAAGTTGACTTTTTATGCTCACCATTCACTGACTTCAACTAAAGCATAACATATTTCAGCACTGCCTGGCAGGCATGCTGCTGAGTGTGTCATCCTCTCCCATTCCCACTCGTGCTTGCCAAACCTGGAAATGTAGCTGTGAAGGGACTTTGGGATGGTTCTTCCACAGTTACTTCCACGACCCCCTGAACAGGCAGCAAAGAGTGCTGGGTTCAGCAGACCCCAGTCAGACGCCTATCTAACCTCCTCTTGAAGACCCCCAGGGTAGGGGAGAGCACCACCTCCTTAGAGTGGCCAAAATCTGGAATGGGCTCCCAAACTGTGAAGAAGTTCTTTCTAATGTTCAGTCTAAATCAGCTCTCTGCTAGCTTATGGCCATTATTTCTTGTAACCCCCAGGGGCGCCTTGGTGAATAGAGCCTCACCAATTCTCTTCTGTGCCCCCATGATGAATTTATAGGCAACCACAAGGTCGCCTCTCAACCTTCTCTTGTGGAGGCTGAAGAGGTCCAGGTGCCCTAATCTCTCCTCGTAGGGCTTGGTCTGCAAGCCCTTAACCATATGAGTGGCCTTTCTCTGGACCCTCTCCAGGTTATCCACATCCCTCTTAAAGTGTGGCACCCAAAACTGGACACAAGACTCCAACTGTGGTCTGACCAGTGCCCAATAGAGGGGAAGTATCACCTCCTTGGTTGTGTTTGCCATGCATCTGCTGATGTTGTAAGTGCTGTTAACTTTGCTGATGACCTCGTCACACTGACGACTCATGTTCATCTTGGAGTCCACTAGGACTCCGAGATCCCTTTCCGCTTCTGTGCTGCCAAGCAGGTCATTTCCTAGGCAGTAGGTGTGCTGGACATTTTTCCTCCCTAGGTGCAGCACTTTGCATTTCTCCTTGTTAAACCGCATTCTATTATTTTCTGCCCATTTGGGGACCTGGGGCATAGCAAACTAAAACTCCGAGGAGGAGTTTTAGTTTGCTGCTCTACAGCCGTGGTATGAAGCACAGGGCTCTGTGTAGCTCAGGGACTCTGCAGGAAGCCCGTGCAGGCAGCCTGGCAGCAACCTGGGAAGACAGGCTCTGCTCAAGAAAAACAGTGAGCCTGATCCTTTTTTTTCCCTAGGAGCCTGCCTGCCTGCCTGAGCTGAGTGGGGGCTCAGTACTACCTTCCACGGCTGAAGTGCTCCCCAGGACTGCCCGAGCCGAGTGCCTGTGGGCAGGTGCCACCTGCGCAGGGAGGGGGCCCGCCGCTGCCATGAAGGGAAGCACCAGCCCCCCGCCCCTTAGTTCAGGGGCCACTCTGCCCGCCGGCAGCTAGCCCTTATCTCTCTGCTGCCGGAGAGGCAGGTAAGTTTGGGTGTGTGCACAACACAGAGATTTAAAGGGCCCTAAATTGAAGCGGTGTTTTTAAAAACCCACCACTTCAATTTAGGGCTCCCGTTTCATCTACACATGCCCATAGAAATCATACTTTAATTGGGCTGCTGTACCACAAGAAAGGAAAGGAGAATCTTTGATCAAGTTTCTTCCTAGCCAGCAGTAGGTAATTCAATTTCTGTTGTTGTCTACTTTGTAGCTAGGGGATATATTATTCTCAGAAGTCTATTCCCCTTCATTCCAGAAGGCAAATGACCCTAACATTAGACTTCTGAGTTGCAGACAGGAGCAGTGAAAAATTAAATATTACTGTTGCAAGTATATAAGTAATCTGTCCACACATTCACACAGGATCACCTTCACTGAAAGTAATGCATACTGTCAACATATTTCTTATTTGATTTTGTTGCAGGACAATTTGTATGGGGAGATCAATATGGTATCTTAATTGACTAGCAAATGAATACAGGCTAGAATAAAATAGTGATTCAAAGCTTGGCTAATTATCAAAGTTCAGCTTGTAGCTGCAGAAAAAAAATATACCTATTTTACTCACCCTTGGACCTCTCTTCCCTGATGGGCCAGGTAAACCTGGAGGACCTGGAGGACCCTGGAGAAACAAACATCAAATAGTTAAGGCTAACACCGAACTAATCACTGTGTTGCAGATCAAACTCTGACTAGTTCTCCCAAAGACATTCAGCTTCTGATTACCGAGTGCAGACACCTGCTCATCTTGGAAGCAAGCTCCCAAACTAAAGCTATGTATGTTTATAAACCTGCCTCCAAATTGGAGATGTACGGTTAAAATTACTTCATGCACAGGAATTGTAATTCCAAGTTTAGTGGGCACCTTTTGCTTAAGATGATTACTGGAAGAACACTTTTCAAGGTTTATAATCAAGGAAGTGCAACATATTTCAAAATAGCGCATAAAAGTTAACTTAAGTAAAAAACATAGCTTACTAATTTTTACTTCCCAAACACTGCATCTATCATTTTAGGCCATTCAAAGAGTTGTACTGAAACAAACTAAACCACAAGTCATACAAAAGGAAGATATGAAGTCAAAGAAATATGACAAGCATGGCTGAAAGATTGTTTGATGATCCTGATCTTTTATATTCATGCTTTTAAACTGATATCACTCCCTTTAAAGAAAAAACTCTTTTTGATTTTCACAAGTAAATTCATACATACTCCAGCAGTATGAGAAATAACCTTTGCAATTTCATGCGACTGTTAATGATCGCATCAATATGAGATGTAACAGCAACTTCTCTCTAGTTAATAGCTTTATCCCTAGAAAAATCTCTTCCTTTCTTATTGCATTGTCTCTGTTAACTTTTGAGGCCCTTGAGGATGTTACATCTGTACTGAAATTAACGTAAAAAAAATCTACAATCTAGATCCCATGCTGGCTTACGTCAAATCCCATGCCATTGTACTATCTCCTATGAGGTTGCCTAAGGTATTATTCAGCCATTACTTTTCAAGGGCAAATTCAACTGTACAATCCATGCAGGTGCAGGAGACCCTCGTTGTAAAAGAATCAATACGCTTCCACTGCAGAAAAGACTAGTGGCAAAATGGTAGGATCTAATGAAGGTAGACGCAGAATGGTCTGAGGAAAGGATTTTATTACCACCTCCTGCGTCTCAATCTCACCCCTGCGCAGAACACAGCTACTCAGGCTGTGCACTAGATAAAATGCTTAAATAGCCCTTGAAATTGCTTGATGTTGTTCAAAATGATTAAAAATCCATCAAAGCCAAGGAAATTATTACTGTTGTAGCTGAAATAACAATAAAAGTGCAGGAAATGAAAAATTGTACTACTCCACAGTTTTTATTAGCACTTAGTGAATGATTTTATTAATATTAAATTCTTAGGCAAAATTACTATCACCATCCTTAAAATAGTAAATTCACTGATGCAGAAGCCAATTCTGTTTAGGCACATTATGCAATGTCAAATCAATTGCCTTTTCTTGGACAGAACAAAACACTGGACAATTCTGGGGAAAAAAATATTATGAGCCTTTATTTTTTAAGGAGAAAAGCTCTCCTCTACAACTACCATAGTTATCTTTAAAAGATCCAAAACTACTCCTTTTTCTTTTTTTTCCTTTAAGTCTTTTTATTTTTGGGGCACAATTAACACAGAAAAGGCTTTCAATGTCACTGTTCTATACTTGAAACTGTGTTTCAAGAACAATGACAACTGGTGGGGAAGTTACATAGGTATCTTCCAGTCTGGGAATAGTTACTTACTCTTCTTAATAACTAAGGCTGGGATTTAGAATGCAATAGTTAGAGGTGCCCCAATATATCGGTAGCATATTGGATTGGCACCAATAAAAGGAAAATTAACATTATCGGCAATCAGCTTTTTTGGCCAGTATAGCCAATAATGTCACTGATAAATGCTGTGTGCACATGCACAGCTGTAGCATGCATGCAGCCAGGAATATAGCCAGGCAGCTTTGAGAGCAGCCTTCCGCCAGTAAGTCTGTGGGGGTGGGGGGAGGTGCAGATCAAGGCCCCTGGGGTGAGGGAGGGAGTAGGGCAGAGGCTGCCCGAGTGAGGCAGGATGCGAAATGAAGCTGCACTCATCTGGGGGGCACGGGGAGGGGGGTAGGTGGCTCCTGCCACTGCACGCACTCCAGGAGAGTACTGGGATGGGGAAGGAGGGGGTGTGTCTCCCCAGGATCTGCATGGGGCATGGATGGGGTGGG